CCGAATAATGAAAATGGACATACAGTCTCGAGTAATCATGATCAAGTATGTTTGTTATTTTTCAGTTAACTTACGAATCATGGCATTTTAATAAAAGTGAAACAGTAGACAACTGAAACTTCTTACAGTTTACTTTCTTATTGATTATGACATAATTAATTACTTATATAAGTAACAAAAACTTCAAACATATATTTTTGTACTCAGGTTAATAGTCAGTAAATGAAAAAATATATTTGTTAGATAAGTTATTTCATACAGATTGTATTAAGTGAATAAAGTGTTTTGAATTTACGGTTAGCGTACATTTTTTACTTTTTATGAAAATGATGTACACCATAATCTTGTCACTGTAATTACTGCTTATACTCTTATTACCTCTATCACTACGGGATTTGAATCGACAAGTGCATCTCTGTGCTAATGTGGTGTGGCAACTCGAACTAATGTACGTACGTACGAAGTTCTACGTTGTTACTGACTGACTGACTGTAATTATCAGGGAGGATCACTTCTCCTAAACAACTGATAAAGTGTCCAGTTAGTCATAAACAACATAGAACTTGATACATATATGTGCATCAGTCCAAGCTAGTACACGAAATCAGCACAGAAAGATGAAGTTATCAAGACAAACGTTATAATAGTAGAAGTAGTAAGAGAATCAGTATCAGCAGAAAAGATTGGTCATAAACAATATGATTCTAAAAAAAGAACGAATCCGCAAAATAAAAATTATCAAATAACTTTTAAACTCAAGATCTAAAGAAGGACAAAGAGTGCATAAATCTGTCCGATTGTGGCCAATTATGTGCCATATCATTCAACGTCTCCAACCATTATTGGTTATGATAATCACGGGGATCCCAATCAGGTAGTTTGAAATTTTAGTGTTACCACTAAAATTTATGATAAAAAGTTTTGTTGGCGGCAGATATGGGTACATTTATTTTGATTTATGTTCTTCACATGCATGTAAATGGCAAAAAGATGACAATAAAGTTTTTAATATATAGTTCTTCATTGTTAACATCACTACTACTATTCTTGACAGTGAATTTTAAATACTTGTATATAATCTTATGCATTCAATTCCTTAAAAGAAACAATATTCTACCAGGATAGATAGCAAAATACTAAGAAATAGTTTATACACTACCAGTGAATTGGATTTCAGGTAATTTTTAGAAAATTATAATATTTGTTAAGTTGAATCCAAAGTTTAAATTTTTTGTTTGAATGCTTTTTCAACATGATTAATTAATTAAAAGTCATTTCATCCAAAATTATTCTAATTATGTCTATATTAAATTCTTTTTGCTAAAATGCATAGTTTGAATAGTCCATTATCCCTAGCTTTGTATATGATGTATACCTCTTCTTATTGTAAATCAAATTTCTCTTATCATTCTATCGTCTACAGACTTTTTTGTCTCAATATTTTCTATTTGTATTTTATTTACATAGAATTTAGGTGACATTCGATCGATAGATTACCAAAATCATGTACCAATTTCAAATGAAGTACAAGCCTGTGCTGAGCATATTACACAGGTTCAATTGCATCAACGTGCAGATCAAACGCAAGATCGTATGTTTAATTTATACTTTTCTCGTATTTCATCAACTGACTTAATTAAACTTTCTTTGAATAAATTTTTAATTATTTCAATCCATTACAGTAAATTGATTATAAATAAAATGTTTTATTAATTATTAACCTCATTCATTTTCGAGTATATTCCTCCTATATGCATTGGTCACCAAAATATCGACGTTTATGTACCGATTATTCAGTGATGTGTGTAAACACTTAGAACGTTGTGATCATTTACTCGATAATTAGCATAAATCATATTTAATCAGCAGTGTATACACTTGCCGCTCAACTATTTGGTAATTGATCTTAACAAATAGAATATATCAGTTATCCGCTTATAATACATGTAGCTCTTAGTTCAATACATTTGAATTTGAATAGTTTATTGTTCTGTCTACTTTGTCTGCCATGTATTACACCATTGGTGCAAATATGGTTCAATTACTTTTATTCAAAAGTCGATTACTATATCTCAGAATTGTGTCTTACGAAATTTTAATGATAATGCTTACTCAATAATTCTTCAGCGACATTTATCCGTACACAGAACTATTATAATTCAATAAATTTCATTGATCATATGTACTTGCTTACTGATAATGACTTTGTAAATAATAGTGGTCAAGAACGCACATAAAATATTTTTCAAGTGACCTACATAGAAATTTAGTCAGATTTAAAACCAACGTTATCGTTGGTATTCACACGTATAAATCTTATAGCCTAGATCATAAAATTGGGTAATAATTATTGAGTTGAATTAATAATACATATGTATTAATGGGTGATGTACTTTTCCAAAACTGTGACCATATATTTCTGGTTAGTAACATTAGTTAAATTTGATGCAAATATTGCACAAATTGTTGTAAAACAAGTTATCCTCAAATCATTTATTAATAGCTAAAATACTTGCAGATGATTTTGTGTTCAGGCGTTACTGATTAGCACAAATCAGAAAGCTGATTTCCTCCCACCCCCATTAGATGAGCTAAAATATCAAACTATGGAGAATTTCACGTCTTGGTTTAGTCAACTAGCTGTTTGAAATATTAATTACTAGAGGTGTTGTAGCGTTGTTATATTCAAATGTGTAAAGTAAGTCGGTAATGATACATAAATCACCTTTTTTCTGTAACAGTACAGCAATAATTGGTTTACACAAAACCTACCAGCTGACTGCTTACAAACAACTACACGGGTTTTCATTAATTTTACTTAATTAAATATATTTTAAATGGTATGTACTCTTTGTATACATCAGTAAAGTTATGACACCTATTTCATTACAGCATTGTTACGGAATTGAAAAATGTAACAGTTTATTTTTCATTAATCACAGCCCCAACTCCATGTCCTGTATCAGTTGGTTTATCTGATATAGATGGGACAAAAGAGAATCAAGATCCAGGGAAACAGCAAAAAGTTAAAAATGATCCGAACAGTGCACTTTTTCTGGATGTCAGTTCACTTGCTCCTCGTAATTCATATTGTGCTTTATGTGATACGCATGATTATCTACATCAAATTCATTTACCAGCTTATTTAATCTCTCCCTGCTATCATTGCCGTGAGTTTCTTGCAAATGAAGCTAAAATCACTCCTGAAATTCTCCTAGACTTACATTTACAAGTAAGTAATTTTAATTATTAATTTATATCACTCACTCAAACGTTAGTAATATGTGGTGATTAAATTATATTAGTTTACAACTAATTGTTATATCTATCATAATGCTATGTTAATCAATATAGAATTCGTCCAACTGTTTATACGAGCATTCAGGGGTGATCAAATTATCTTTTTAGAATAGATATCATTCGGTTTTAGTATTACTTTTTGCATAGTGCTATAAATGTCCTTCGAATAACTCTTCTAGCCATTTTGGAGTATCAATGATCGTTTAACTTAATGACTCGATATGATACACAGTATAAGAATGTTATGAAAGCTCTATTCAATAGCTTACACATTTTGTATACCTTTTTACACTGAAGTTTAGGAACAAATATTAAATTGAAAATTTTCTTGTATGACCCATCCATAAAATTTCCTTTTTTTATGTAGCATAACATTCCTTGGCCAGGATTCCTGCAAGCTAGATTTGGTATCCCTAATGATGGTCGGTCAACTGAAGAACTAATTGCTTATGACTGCCGTTGGCGGAGCAGACAACCTTGTCGATGTTTAGCTTCTGTAGATGGTTCCTTATTACCACCCTGTGTCGAATTTCCATGGTTAACTCCTACAGTTTCGACGGGTTCATTCGAAGTTACTGATATATCAGCAAATCAAAGCAAATTAGACAAACAAGATTCATTGAATACACAAGTGGTTGCAGAGATTTCTTCACCCACCACTACAGATCCGCGTACTTCTGATTTTTCTGCAACGACACGTAAGCTATTTGATTTTATTAATAATTATGCATTTAACTTAATTTATGCTACATGAAGCAATCTCAAATATGTATTTTTTTATTACAGAAGCACAAACTAATGCAGCAAATCAATCGTTGCCTACCCCCACCACAACCTCGGTGAGTACAAGTAACACGTCAGTTGCGGGAAATACTAATACATGTTTAAAATCAATTTTGCCATGTTCAAATAGGCATATTCGCGGTGCTCCCATTACCTGCTGTCATGGCATACATTTTCCTTTAGTTGGCATACCAACCGTGTCAACTTCATCTGCCAATCAAAATACAGATACTGGCTGTATCCCGTCTATTGATTCTTTTAATCCACAATCAACGACCGATAGAGGATCAGTTGTTATAACTCAAGAGATGCAACAAGCAGCACCGTTAACAAACGACGTATCATCTTAATATTGTAATTTTTATTATTATCATTATCCACAATCATTTCGTAAATGTGATTCGAAAATTGTGCAATATACAATTGTGTGCATATATAGCTACCTATCTTTTGAATAGTAACAATCTCAGAATCTCATTATAAAATAATGTTAAAATCTAGCACACATCTCTACTATAATTACGGCACTAGTCTTTGTAATACTGTCAAACATTATTTGCCTTTCAAAACAAAAAAAGATGGAAATAAATTGTTACCTATAGTTAATTGTAATTTTGTGGTTTATACTTTTTTAATTAATTTTTTCGTCGCTTTAGCTATACACTTATTTATATTGTTAATACATATTACACAACATAAGACGTATCAAATGCTGTTTGCAGTATCTATTTTCGAAATAAAGAAAAACAATTTGATAACAAATAAAAGTAAACAGATAAAAATTGTTTGTAAAAACAACTCCGAGTATACCGGATGCATAAAAGTCCATGCATGATAATGCTATTAATGCGATGATAGTCCATTTGATGCGGAGTTGGGTCTATACGAATATATAGTTTTTATAAAGTTAGCAATTTCTATCGAAAAAATGTCTTGTTTTTCAATCGAGATATGGTAGAAGCTCTCAACTTCCGTACTTTTTTCAATGATTTATCCCGAATGGTTGATAAATTCGTTTGTGACAGACTAGGATGTCGCAAACTAAGGCATATTTCTAGATTATAAATAGCCACAATAAATAAACATTTCAGTCAGTCAGTAACAACGTAGAACTTCGTACGTACGTACATCAGTTCGAGTTGTCACACCACATTAGCACAGAGGTGCAGTTGTCGATTCAAATCCCGTAATGGTAGAGGTAGCAAGAGTATAAGCAGTAATCGGGAAGATTAGGGTTTGGAGATGTTATTTAAAGAGTATAATCCAGTGAAACAAATTTGGAAAGAGGAAAAAAGGGATATGAAGAATTCAGAAGATTAGAATTTGGGAGAACACAGAGAGTGGATGCACCTGCGCCATTGCAAACGATTTTGAGCCATGTCATTCAGGGTCTCTAACCATCGGTTGCTATCATCTCGCGGTCCCCAACCAGGTAGTCTACACCTACTTATACTGTCTCTTTTCATTTGAGCCTAACTTATAATTGTAAATATAATATTTTATCTATAAAAATCTGTGATGTTCTTAAAGCTAATAATGAATTGTCATTTTTATCTGGTAAATTAGTTTTTTTATAAGCCATTCATAGATGAAGAAATAACCAATCTTGTTGATGATGACAGTTTAACAGCATATAGGAGCTTAGATATCAAGCCAATGTGTAATATCTTTTTGTTTGTGCAAATACAATCCTAATCCTGGATTTCCCTTTTTCTTGATAAGATATATCCTACGTAACTTTTCTTCATAGGAGTTGTAGATTATAACTTTTTCCGATATTTGAAGATAATGGAATCTAGATCGTAGTATCAACCATCTAAAGGTATTTATAACTATCAAAAATTCCCCTACATTAACTGTGACTAACACCATGAGTTTGAAAAATACTTTGATGGACTGAATTTATTAATGACAGAAACTTACGTTTGAATTTACTTTCGAGGGTTCTTCGGCTAGATGATCTTACTCGATGCCTACAAAAAACAAAACGTATACACTAACAAATGTTACTGCAATTATCCTTTAATTCAACGGTATGGAGCCACTTTTTCAATAGTCTCTTGACGCTTTCATTATTTTCAGACACTAATGTACGAAAAAAATTCGTAAATCTGATGAAACATCTCTACAAAAGAGTTAGCTTAAAGTTTAAAAAAACCGCATGAAAATTCCTAGGTAAAGGATAGGGTACATGCCAAAGTTTAAAAATCTAGAAACACGCTAACTACTGCAAAAACAAAAAACTGAGCAGAAAATAAGCCTTGAAGAGAAACCATTAGTATTTAAAACCTTTTAGTCTACATTTGAAACATGATTTTCAGCGAATGACAACAGACAATCAAAATATACTTGTTTCTTGTCAACCTACAAAGTTAAACTAGATAGGAAAGCGATGAGGAAAAACTGCTTTAAGAGCAAGTTAACCAGATGCAGCTGAACCACATAAATTAAACTACCACACTAACAAGTAAACCTTTAGTGGTCTATCTGTTTACTATCAAACGATTGCAACAGTTTAAATTTCAGGTGTTATGGATAGACCTGAATGTTGTTTAATAATAAAGTGCATCGTGGTTTCGTGAAGTATTTATTGAAAAAGCATAAGCAATAACTGAAAGACAAAATGAAAAGTGCAGTTGAACTTGATCAGACGTACCCGTTTCCAACAATAAAATAATTTATATAAACGACAACAAACTTTAGTTTGAAATGTTTTTCAGATGTACTTTGCATTAAGGAATCTTGGTTAACTAACAGTAACTCAGGGTGAAATGAAAACTATATATGAAGGACAGAATAACCTACACTATTTCCAGATAGTTTCAAAAATGCGTTTGATTTATATCGTGCACTTAAGGGGTTCATTAGTCGTGCAGTGATAAGAAGGTGCCTTACATAATTCTGTCCTACTTGCACAGTGCTGGTTCTAAACATATAATTGTAGTCTTCCAACAATTAGATGTGGCTGAGTGCAGAAGCGTTCGGCTATGGTGTGAATCAAAACTTTTAATAAACACATCAAAGAACTTATTTTGGTGAGGCGACAGTGTAAGATAAATATTAGAAAGCAACTTCAATTACAGTAACTGGGATCCTCTACAATATGTACTATTTTCACTTTCGAGATCATAAGGCACAGGATTTAGTTTTAGGTATGAATTTATGTATACATTAGGCCCATATTTAATATTATATGAAAGTGAAAACTATGGCCACGTCTATAAAAAAAGTATCTTACTTTCTTTAATACTTGTTTGAATTTTGCGAGCAGATAGTTCCAGATTGGAAAGTTCATTGTTTATATCATATAGTTGTCTGTGTAATTCAGTGTATGGAATGAAGTCGCTTTGCTGATCGCGTCTGACATCACGTCGGCATAAAACAGGAATAGGTGGGGCAGGCCCTTTGGTGTTAACTGACCTACTTATCTTTGCAGTTGATCCATTAAGAGGAGATTTTGAGGACTGTTTTGTATCACTGCTTAGTGAAAAGGACTGTGCTTTATTCAGACTACCATAAGCGAGTAAACTCGATAAATCATATATAGAAGAGTGAGGAGTCTGAAGATTGACTGATTCATCTGCGACTAATTTTTCCTTGGAAAATTTTTGGTTACTCTGTTCCATATACTTGTTTATATGGTTACTAGGCGTGAATACCAGAGATGGAGGGTTTGATAAACTTAATATGTCTGAGTGGTCAGAATCTGAAATGTTATTAATCTCTTCCGAGTCTAAGGCTGATAAATCGTCATCAAATGGATTGTAAGGCTTATAGGTACATTCATGCTGAGAGCTGGGATCACGCAAAGAGTCATCTTCGAACGGATTTAAAGCAGCAGGATAAGAAACGATGTTATGGTGTTTGGAATTAGAGTTATTTTTACGCTGTTCTATGTCAGCTGATATTTTAGCTTTTATCTTCAAAACACTATTCAGTTCAGGAGACGCATTATTACTTAAAACATCAAAAAGTGGCGATCTAGAAGGAGGTTTGCATGTTGGTTGACTTTTTCCATTGCTAACAGTGTCCAATTCTTTTTGCGGACTGAATCTTATTGGGAAGGGATCCGCTACTAGAAGTGAAGATGAAGAGAAGACAAAGGGATCTCGTTTACCTGAGAATTTAGTCAGCGGTGAACCATCAGAACAGTTGGAACCCTTTAGTGTTTTATTCCGCTCTTTGAGATAAGTTAACTGGTTGTCACGAAAACAACTACGATGGTAGTTCCTACTGAAAACAGTCAGCTGCTCGATACGAAATATAGTTTCCCCACAAAGGTCACATATAAGAAGTCCCTCCTCCTGTTCACACTAAAGACGTATTATATGAGATTTGCAAGGGCATACCAAATATGATAAGTTTTTATCTGAAAGCTTATCTGGACCTAATTGACCTGGATTTATGAAACAGATATAGTCATGTATTACCTGAATTTCTTGTTAATGCCCCATACAACTTAGAAACGTATTCAAATATTATCTTTTCATCTACACTCTAATACTATGACTTGTGGTCTTGTAGGCACCGGTATATTCAATTTTGTTTCTGCAACGAAAAACGCCTAAAATATATCATCATACATAAAGGATATATAATAACCAACCAACTTAAGGTTTGTTACAGCATCTTCAGACTTCAAGTGCGAAAAATCTCTTTAAAAAGTGAGATGCAATTTTACTGTCCTGTTCAACCTACATTAGATCAGGGAAATGTTTGTGAATTAAGGCACAAAACGCCAGACCATCTTTCCATGATGATGTGAAATCAGTGATATTAATATATGGGTACGTTTTGGTTTGTTCAATGCACCAATTCAGAAGACACTGAGAAGAGTTATCCTCCATTCCCCCCAGTTGCCACTAAAGTTACAAAAGTGACTGATGATGTCACAGGTATTCAGTGTTTGACAACGCTTCTACCAGTAACACCTTCTAATGTATTTCGTTCCCACACAGAGAAATCAAAAGACAGAGTCGAGGAGATCGGAAGAGTATATTTGGCGATGACCAATATATCGGAATTCTCTGATCTAATCTGGCTAGCGATTGCGGTTGATGTTGAGCACGGCGTTACCACACGTGATCTGGTGCGGATGCCTGACCGAGCGCCTTCAGCTAGATGAGTTCACTAAAACATATGATCAGCATCCAATGTCGAAAACTTACAGAGCTATTTATTTTGGGGATTTATTTACCGCTACAGATCACTCCCCACCTAGTGGGGCAGTGACGACCCTAAGACTTGGCCAGCCAGAAGTTTAAACCGAAAGAGTTTGTCGTTGGTAAACACTCTTCTGATAGCTTACTAAGTGTAGCAGCGTCTGGTCGTCTTTCCTTACTATATGGGACCGAGGTACAACATAGTAAAAAAAGAAAAAGTTACAACGAAGATTTCGACTCCTCGTAAACTGCATCGCTCTTTTCCAGCCGTCCTGGAAAAGAAAAAAGAAAGTGTAAGTGCATGTCGAAATACACTCGTATGTGCGTAAAAACACAATGTTGGCGAAAAAATGGAAAATATACTCAAGCACACATAATAGCGTTAAAAATGTTTTTTTTGTTTTGTTTTTTTTAAAGTAAAAAAATATAAATATATAAGCATATTAAAATTCTTTTTTTTTAGAAAAATTATATATCGTAAAAAGAAAGATCGGGATAATATAGAATGTCGAGTACTGCTTTACGTGCAGTAGTCGTTTAAATGTTCTGGAAATCTTACTCTTCTTCCGGAACGCGTCGTTTTACGTTTATTTTCAGATACATTCAGAGTATCATCGCTAGTGTTGGTTGTCGGTTGAGGAACTATGAGTGTCGGAGTCGTGTCGTTCGATTGTACCGAAGGAAAATCCACGTAGATAGGATTTCCTTCTAAATATGCTGCTTTTAAGCGATCGATGCTGATGCTATCGTTGGTTCCGTTCTTATCGACTATATAGTACTTAGATTCACGTTGAAGAACTTTGAAGGGTCCTTCGTATGCTGATTCGAATGGTCGTCGATGCGAGTCTCGACGAACGAAAACGTGTGTACTATATCGTAAGTCAGGTTGAACGAAAACATCAGTTGATTGAGGTCGAGTGGAAACAGGTTTAACTGAACGCATTGCGTTTGTAAGCCTGTTCGTGTAGGAGGTTAGATCCATGTTCATTGAAGAGGACGAAGGATCCACGAATTCTCCTGGAAGTCGAAGTGTCGTTCCATAAACGATTTGAGCCGCAGTGTATCCAATGTCAGCTTTCACTGCATTGCGGATACCTAGTAAGACAAGTGGAAGAGCGTCGGTCCACTGTGAAACGTTTGCAGCTGATAGTGAAGCTTTTAGTTGTCCACGAAAAACGTCGTCTATGAATCTTTGGAATATTTGAGCATCATTCCTCAGACCGAAAGGCATTCGCAAAAATTCATAGAGTCCGAAGGGAGTTATGATAGCTGTTTTCTGTATGTCGTCAGTAGCCATAGGGATTTGGTTATACGCTTTAACCAAGTCGATTTTCGAAAAGACAGTTGTACCTTTCAAGGTAGCTGTCAAATCGTGAATGTGAGGCAACGGGTAACGATCGGGAATGGTTTTCGCATTCAATCGCCGATAGTCACCAGTTGGACGCCAATCGTTGCTGTCCTTTTTAGGGACCATGTGCAACGGAGATGCATATGGGCTACTTGACGGTCGTATGATTCCTAAGTCCATCATGTGATCGAATTCGTTTTTCGCTAACCTTAGCTTTTCAGGAGCTAGTCGTCGTGCTTTAGAGAATACAGGTGGTCTTGTAGTCGTGATGTGATGTGTAACATTGCTGGTTACACACGTTAGTTTCGGTTGAGTTTGTTGTATCGCAGGGTACTTATCGAGTAGTGGTTGATAGAGTGGGTCTATCATATGTTTAACTATGACTGGGGATACTCTACAACCAGTAAAAGAAGTTACGCAAACGGACAAATTAGTGTTTCCGTCTACTAGGCTCCGTTTGCGAGTGTCGATGATTAGATTGTGGTGTTATAGAAGGTCCATACCAATGATTGGTATAGAAACATCTGCAACAACGAAAATCCAGTGTATGGGTTTGTAGAATTATGGTATACTATGATATTAGTACTGCTCTAATAATAGACCTAATCCTAAATTTGTAGATTTGTCATGATATAACTGCCTAATCTATAAGATCTTACGTGGAAGTCACACCATCGACTAAACCAACTCACTGTATCGTATCAATTACCAATACATGATGTAGAACAAGGTTAGGCTAGAGAAGGAACAATATATTTAATATGAATAGAAGATATAAGGTAACATTCAGCAGAGACCACGCCTGCACAGCCGAGCCATGCCACTCGATCAACTCCAGTCCATTTTATTCATTCTCTGCGCCTTCTCCATCGTTAGGTATTTTTTCGTGTTAAATATTGAATATCTATTTTCCGAGTTGTCTGAAGTTCAGCTTTGCGGATTGTGTGGTTATGGTCCAATGCCACTACACTACTCTCCCACCAGAATCAACGTGATGTTGGTTCGATACCAAATTGGATGGGATCGTCGCGCGCCAGAGGTTACCAAGGATAATAAGGATCCTCCGGGTATTGATAATCTGAAAGATAAATCAAAAAGAAGGCGGCAGCATCTGGTCGGGAAATACATGTAATAATCTTAAAATATCTGCTTTCATGATTAACACGCTTAAAATGAAAATTTGGGTGAAGATTATTTGAACTATAAAAAATGGGATTACAATAATATTAATAAAACGATGCGTGTTAATAGCCGTTGGTTAATAACTTAACTCATAGGTAGTATGCATTTTGTGTTTAGAAATATTAAAATAATGAATATTGTAGAAATGTTAATATTGGTATTAGTTTTGGTTTAAACTATGAAATCAAATAACGATTGTGCCGGTAAGTTGTCCATATGAGTTGAATTCCAATTGCATCTGTATTAGTAGGCTAACTGAAGGAACGAAAGTATACCGTGGAAAAGAATTCCAACTAGTGTTCCAGTTAGTTTGATACGGTTTATTTAGTTACGAGGAGATTTTCTCAACCTCATTTTTACTTGACCGTGATAGAATTTAGTAATACTACTAATACACATGAATGTTTATCAAAATAAAATTTAAATACACGAGTGATAATTGTATGGATTTTGGACAGATAGCTAGGAACAAATCGTTAAACATGAGTGTATTCGTAAGAGACATGCTCTGGACTCAATGTTCTGCGTTGCCATAGACTATTTATTTATATTTATACTTGCTGGCTGATTGGGCATACAAGTTAGTGGGAAGTATGCAGTTTATCATAAGGCGAAATACGATTTAATTGAGATATAGTGGTTATAAGTTATTAAAATCAGTTAAGCTTATGTGTCATATTACTAAGTTTCAGGATATCGTCATAAAGCATTGTCATAACTTGACAATCACGTAATATGATTGATAAAATTAATGAAACTATTAACGAAATCGGTCAACAAATTGACTTATAATTACCATTAAATGGTGTTGTTTTCTTGGTATCTTCATCCATCACAGATAATTACAGTATGTTTCTCTCTCAGTTGCTCATTCAGTAAATATCTCAAAACCTTGTCAGTCTAATTGATGGTTTAGCGACACAATCATGCATGCAAATAATCAGTATAAGCAGTCGAGCAAATCTCCTGCAAACTGAAAACATCAATGTCGAATTTACCCCAACACTGACTAAGGTTCAAGCCATTATCATAGACATGAGTTAGGAGTGTACTCCCCCTGGTTACAACTTATGTTCTCCCTGATAATCACATGAGCATCACTCACGGTTAATCATCGTGTAAAAACTTATGTAGCTAAATACATCTTGCAATACCACATCACTTCGTAATATGATACATAGGCTTAACTGATTTTAATAACTTATAACCACTATATCTCAATTAAATCGTATTTCGCCTTATGATAAACTGCATACTTCCCACTAACTTGTATGCTTAATCAGCCGTCAGATATAAATATGTATAAATAGTCTATGGCAACGCAGAACATTGAGTCTAGAGCATGTCTCTTACGAATACACTCATGTTTAACGATTTGTTCCTAGCTATCTGTCCAAAATCCATATAATTATCACTCGTGTATTTAAATTTTATTTTGATAAACATTCATGTGTATTAGTAGTATTACTAAATTCTATCACGGTCAAGTAAAAATGAGGTTGAGAAAATCTCCTCGTAACTAAATAAACCGTATCAAACTAACTGGAACACTAGTTGGAATTCTTTTCCACGGTATACTTTCGTTCCTTCAGTTAGCCTACTAATACAGATGCAATTGGAATTCAACTCATATGGACAACTTACCGGCATAATCGTTATTTGATTTCATAGTTTAAACCAAAACTAATACCAATATTAACATTTCTACAATATTCATTATTTTAATATTTCTAAACACAAAATGCATACTACCTATGAGTTAAGTTATTAACCAACGGCTATTAACACGCATCGTTTTATTAATATTATTGTAATCCCATTTTTTATAGTTCAAATAATCTTCACCCAAATTTTCATTTTAAGCGTGTTAATCATGAAAGCAGATATTTTAAGATTATTACATGTATTTCCCGACCAGATGCTGCCGCCTTCTTTTTGATTTATCTTTCAGATTATCAATACCCGGAGGATCCTTATTATCCTTGGTAACCTCTGGCGCGCGACGATCCCATCCAATTTGGTATCGAACCAACATCACGTTGATTCTGGTGGGAGAGTAGTGTAGTGGCATTGGACCATAACCACACAATCCGCAAAGCTGAACTTCAGACAACTCGGAAAATAGATATTCAATATTTAACACGAAAAAATACCT